GGCCGAGAGGTGCGTGACGGCTGTCACGGGCAGCGTTGCCGCCGCACCCGTCAGTGAAAATGAAGCTGGCATCTCAAAGTGTAGCTCTTCTCACTTTTCTTTCTTGTGTACGTGATTCTTTTCCTTTCTTTCCTTCTTTTTTTTTTTTTTCAGTTATTCCATAGACCGATGCGGGTGTTCCGATGTTTATTTCTTCACTGAAATTTCCAGTTTGGTGTTGCCTTTTTGCAGTTCATATACAGACGTTGGCTTACCATGCGCTGTATCTGAAGATGGCAACGTTAAGCATCAGTTGCCCCCAACCTTTTATTCCTTGATGTATTTTCTCCTGTGGTTGTTGTACTAATTTTATGGTTGTGGGAGGGAAAATCAAAGCACAAGACTAAGGAGGCTTTGTTTAAGAGCAAGGTGCTTAAAATGAGTAACTGTGGCTTAGTTCTTGATCTCTGGCTTAATGTTTCTTTTCCTGCTTTACACTGTGTTGTTGGCTGTTGCCGTCGCATCTGGTTGATGGAGACCAATTCAAATTTAGTATTAATAGTCGTGGAACTGTGAGCTCAGTTCCTCTGAACAATTCTGGCTTGCAAGTAGAGCTGCTTGTTATTAACAAAGAATTTATGTATTTCAGCATGAGCTAACCTGAATTTTTTTTTTTAATACCGTTTAAATACATAATATTTAACATATACATTAAAACACAGAGAATACAGAAAATATAGTTGTATAGTGTGAAGAGGGGAGACACGTTAGGAGAGTGAACAGGCTCACAACATTCAATATGTCTCAATAGCCTTACGAAAATGAGGTGTAAACAGAACAGGGCGTCAGCCAAAAGGGTGAGATTTAGGTTGAGAAGGTGCTGAGCGGAATGGTAAAGTCCTCCTTTACTTGAAGCATTTTCAGTGAAGCTGATGAGGAGAGCTTCAAGGCTACTTGGTGGTCAACTCCGTTGTCATTTGTCTTTCTAAAGCCCATGCCCCTCTGTGCAGGGAGGTAGAAAGATTTGAGAGACAGCTGGCAAAGCATGAAAGAGGTAGGGGTGTGGCATGTTTTCAGAAACTGGAGTTTCTGAAAAGCTCTTGCTTTTGTTCGATGTAACATCTCCATGTAATTTGAAAGTTAGAGTAGACTGATGTCTTCTAAACTCTGAATAGGTAAGTCCCAACTCCCAAAATGTTTTGTGGCTCACTGCCGATTATTGCCAAACTTCTAATTGAAAATAGGTTATATGGTTTGGAGGCCAGCTACAAATCTGTGTAATTATGGAGTGTTCTGTCATGTTTTCAACAGCTGGACAGTTCCCTGAACGCCAGCTGTGACTGAAGAGCCTTTTTTAAAAAAATCTTGTGTGTTCTATGAATTGTTATGCAGGGAGTTATCTTTCATATTGTTTTTTGCTGGAAAAAAATGTTTTGAGGTTCAAGAGCATGTTAGGCATATGTGGAGTATCACCATGTTAAAATGTCCAAGCATCAGCCTTGCTCCAAAAACTTGAGTTACTAGGCTTTCGAAATCAGCACATTGAACTATTCTGACAAACCTATTGAAAGAACAAAACAAAGCAAAAAAAAAACCAAAACCCCAAACCCAACCAACCAACCAAAAAACCCCAAAACAACCCAATCTCAAAAAACCCCCAAACCCAAATTTAAAGTATGAGTTGAAACTTCTGAATTGAGAGATTTGTGTGAAAAACCAATGTTTTAAAAGAAAGATATGCTCTGGTCCATAGCTGTGTTGCTACAACTATTGTAATAATTCAAACTATACTGTCAAACTATACTGTCATAAAAGTATACATTTGTCAATTTAATGATTCAGTGATTGTAATTTTTCCCTCCATGTTTGACAGGTAGAAAGGCCTTTTTAATAGTAATTTGGAGAAGTACCTGTTTTCTGTACTAATGTTCAGATAAGGAACCTGCAGTCACGTCCAGCTATTTTAGATCCTCTAAACTCACAGGTATATATATTCATAGAATCATAGAATATCTCAAGTTGAAAGGGACCCATAAGGATCATTAAGTCCATGTGTTGATGGATACATAGTGCAGGTTAGTTATTAAGTCACTGAACATAGAGTGTTTGTCTACTATGGGATGTAAATTGCCTGAGTGCTTCATTTTAGGAAAGGGCTAGCCATCTGAAAAGAGGGCTTAATTGCTTAATACAGATACTGTTGCATTTGTGACAGGGGGACCAAGTACACTGGTAAGCAACTAAAACGGTGGAAGAGGAGTGATGACTTTAGGGATTCTACATGTTTTGCTTGCATTATTACTTTTTAGATCGCTCTTTCACAATGGTATAAGTAACAAACGGGGGATCAGGGATTTCTGGTGTCAGGTGTGGCAGAGAAGAATATCAACAAATGCATCGGCTGTAGAAAGGATTAAGTGGCAAAGAGTTACCCTTAAAATCAAACAAAAGCATCATCTTTGATAGCTTTTATTTTCTGGAGCAGGTGTGCCTTTACATTTATGCAAACTTATTCTAGGGAGGGGAAGACTAATTTTCCACTGGGAAGTTTTCCTACTTCTTTTAATGTGGATTTTCTGATGCAAAATCTCTAAATTGTGGTAACTAACATTAAATATGTCATGTAAGCTGTAATATCACATGCCTGTCCTTTTGAGTTTTGTAAGTAGTTGTAACGGTTACCTGTATTAGAAAATGTAGGTTTTACTGCTGTGTATACACGGTGCAGAAGTACTCACTGGTGGCTACCGGACAGCGACATCTCTCTTTACATTTTACAACTCTTTATATTTTACAAATCTCTGAAAAACTTTCTAAGAAGTCACAAGTGCCCATGAAATCAGATATCTTTTCCTTTGGGGTTGTTCAGTGCTGACGTGGCTTCGCCACTTGGGGTCCCTTTCAGAAAGGGTCCTGTCACGAAAGCAATGTTTGCTTGTTATCGGAACAGCGATAAGGCTCCCATGAGCTCTTTTTGCAGTGTAAGAATGTGAGGCCTACATATGTAGTTGAATGTAATACTGTTCCTGGGGTTTAGTGATTCCAAATAATGGATTGGCTTTCATAACTACTTTGAATTGAAGTAAGTTTGTTTCTGACAAAGCAATGATGACACAAGGATGACTTTCATGAATGTTCTTCAAAGGTCTTGCAGCTCCGTATCGGTGAAGTACGCAGAGGATACTAGTCATGGACATTTACAAATGCTTTTGATATAGTTTAGATTTTATGCTGTTAAACGTAAGATTCTTACAGCTTCCAACATTTTTCAGATCCAATGGCTGTCCCACCATCATACAGTGACTTGGGAAAGTGTGCCAGGGATGTGTTCAACAAGGGATATGGTAAGTAACGTGAATGTGGTTTGATAACCTTTCATATTTTTTCTTAGGCATCTTGAAAATGACAATAAAAACATTAGTACCCCAGAGATCCCCTAAATACCTTGTGGTAGGAATTCAGCAGAGGCCCGAAGCATCTAGCCCCTTCTGAATTTGAACTTTAGACATGTATCATGAAAATGATGCAGTAGGCAAAGGGTTAGAGGGGAAAGTTATGAGTTTGACCTTAAGATGCACTCCAGAACAGTCTCTGGAGAATGCTGCATTTTTTACCTTCCAATTTTTGTATTTAGAGGCATTAAATCAGGCAAACTCACGTAGATTGCCATAGGGGACCATATGTGGCAACAAACAGGCTCCTGAGGTAGAATGACCTTTATGTTAATCAGAACAGCCTATTGTCATAGCTATAGTGGAAATAATTTCACAATATTTGCATTCCTCTTCAAAGAATTTAAATGGAGAAATTCTGATATTAGTCCCTTTTCTGGGAGCAGTACTAAAAGTGTTGATGATTTTTATCTGGTTTTGTGAGTGTGTAATAAAGATTGCATTTGTATCCCAAACCCATATGCTACATAAAATTAAAAAGAACTCTGGTCTGGTCTCTGCCACCCTGGAGTTCAGGCTTTGCTAAAATTCAACTCAAGTTCCCTGCTTTAGCGTCAATTGTTTCAGGCTTTTCTACTCTGTGCAAGGGCCAGGTATTTCCAGATTATTCATAGCAGATTAGAAAGAAAAGGAAGAAAGCAACGCTATCTCTGTATATGGCACTGGTTGAAGTAAGTTGAAACATTTTTCTTGGAGAAGGGGAAAAGAAAAATTCCTGCCCTGCAATCAGAAATATAAAAGTAAATTGAGTAAATCAGAAGAAATGGTAACTGTATTGATTGGTCCCAGACTGCAGGTAGCTACGGAAGGTGGAGATACTTGATGATGGGTGACTGTTATGAATATAAATTATGAGGCCACCCACTTTGAATTGTCAAAATTCCTTCAGTCATTCCTCAGTAAGATCAACAACTGTTGAAATATGAAAATAGGCTGTTTCAGGTCAGTGTACCCTACCTGCTGTACTTTGGGTGTGTTGGAAATAAGCCTTGCTTGTATATTGCGGTGAAACAGACGCTGTGTACTCTTCTATTTTCAGGATTTGGAATGGTCAAATTAGAGTTGAAGACCAAGTCTTCCAGTGGGGTGGTAAGTACTGGGGCTTTCAACATCACCAGCATTGCAGTGGAAGGACAAACTCCAGAACTGGTTGGTCGTAATAACTTGCTAGCAGGTGTTGCTTCTCTCTTTCAGTTCTCGTTTTAAAACCTGTAGCTGACTGAGGTATTTCTATAATGATGTGTGGAACTGATGTAGCAGTACTTTTTTTCCTGTGGCATGCAAGAATTTTCACACATTTTGTTGTGGACATGTGGCTTTCCTCCCTGTTCCCATTGACACATCCCAAACATGAGTTTCTTTACCCTAAATAGCTCTCATTTCTACTTATGAATGCAATTGAGTTTCTCTGCTGCTGTTGTTTTTTTAGAGGATTTTGAGTCCAGACTGACTTTTTATCCAAAAGGCCAAGGGGCAAATAAGAGCCACGGTTTAACTTAACTTCATTTTCACTCATCTCCACCATGCTTACAATGCAAGACTTAATTAAAACTAGCATTTTATAGACATTAATTAAGCCTTAGCACTTCAGGGAACTAGAATATACTATGATCCCCACTTTAATGATGGAGAAGCGGAGCTTCCTCATGATTTCACAGGAGAGCTGGCAAAACCAGGAATAGTTTCATAATTTTGGTCTTTAACCGCAGGCATATATTGTTTACTAGATAAGCTTATTCCTACACTGAGTCTCAGTTCTGTGTGTGCTACCACTTGATGCTGTTCTGGTTGATAAGCTGTGCTACTTTTTAGCCTACTTTATAACCGTATTTGCCTTAGCTCCCTCCTTCTCTTGCATTCTTACCAGGCAAATGGTGTGATTCCTTTTGTATTACTGTATTCTGTCCCAGTTGAGCTTTTGATGCATTGCGCACCAGGAACGTGTAGGCACGAGAACTATGTGGTCTCTGTACTGTGACCGCTACCAGTTACTGACATTTCACGATATGCATAATTTTCCTGGCTGGAAGTTTTGATTCTCAAATGATATGATAATGGTTAATTATACTGTCTTCTGAATGTGGCGGAACATGAACAACCATATTAAGTTCTAAAATGGGCTTTTCCTTTTCCATGCAACTTTTGTGTTGGATGTTTATCCAGCTGGTAAGAATAGTGACTGTTTTGGCATGTTGGCTCTTTATTGCTTTGTCTAGTGAGGTTTTCTGTGGTGCATACTGTCGTTCATAAACTGTTCCATTGTTTTTCATCATGTTATCATCCACGTCATGAAGTTTGACTGTGTCCATAGCTCTTAATCTGCTGTATGATCCATGTATGTAAAGCCATTTGCAATCTTTGTCCAACAATCCACAATAAGAACACTGTAAAAACAGTAGGAGGGAAAACAAGATAGATACGGTATTGATACAGTTGTTTGTTGCTTCAGGTTTTGTGCTTGTTAGTGTTTCTAATGAGCGTTCTGCTGCAACAAAATGGTGTTTTAGGGATGGAGACGAGGTTAGGAACAAAGCGTGAGATCTGATTTGTACTTGGTACTAATAGTACCTCTGATTGTTATGATACAGAAATGTTTTGGGTGTTTTTCCTGTGGACTTAGAAAACAACAATGGTAGTGTCTATTGGTTATAATGGTTTCATAGATTGCAAGTGGTTTGGCCTAGTAAGTGCATGGCGTTCCTGAAGATGCCAGCCACTGTAAACCAGAAGGTCAATGAGAAGCTGAGCTTGACTGCTGATTCAGACTGGAGTGTGATAGGAGCCAGAATGAGTTTGATTTTCAGCTACAAAAAATTCAAGAAATGCTTCTACACGAGTTGGTTTGATGAGACATCTCCAGTTTAGACAGTTAAAGATTGATGGCAGCAGATGCTGACTGTGTGCCTTCTGCTTCCAGAAGCAGATCCAATTCTGACACCTGGCAAAATCCTTTGGCTTTTGATCCTATGACAGCGCAGGGTTTTTTTCCTTTGGCTGTAAGAAAAGCATTTTACAGTCTTTCCTCTGCTTGGTGTGAGAAACAAATCAAGCCTTTTTAATCAGTTACCTGCCCTAAGATCAGAAGAAAGTTACTTCTGAATTCTGATGCAGGTTTGAAATGTCTTTACACTGAATTTGTGGAAGTGACATTAGAGCAGTGTGTCTTAAAGGATAGTGTAACACATCCTGACTTGCGTCACGTATTTTTGTTAGTTGGCTAGATGTGTTATAAAACTGCTGTGCTGTTGTAGTAGTGCATTAGCTCGAGTAAGTGTCTTTCTCCCTGCAACCCCACCCCCGGTGTGTAAGGAATGCTACCTGGCTGGACTTCCCTGGCACTTCAAAACCATTTAAAGACAGGCTTTGTACACTCTGCAAAGTCCAAAATTGTGAAAGTAATGTACGCAGCATCCAGGAATACTGTCCTGGAATGAGACGGATCTGGAAAGTCAGTGTTCCAAAGCTTTGATGTGTTGGCAATGGATACTGCCATGTCTTAAGCACTGTATCTTTCAATATTTAAACTTCAAAAGAGGTGTAACTTGGAAATGTAGTGGCAGATTAATTATCTTTCTTCAAGGAAAATATTTGAGAGATGAGGACAACTGAAACGAGATCAGTTCTCAGATGCTTCTTAAAACCTAGCTCGTACACCTTGAGCTTACTGCTGCAAAAATATGCCTACTCACTGCTTTATACTCTATTCTGCATAAAACACTGAGTAGGCTACCTCTGAGTTATTCCAGGAGGAGAGATGTTTGTTGAGATTTCAAGTCCCCTAAGTAACAGGAAGCTCTGATGTGTGGGGGACTGGCCAAGCAGCATAGGACAGCATGTTACAAAATACGTATTATACAAAATTCACAGTTGTTGGTTCAATTACAGTAGTCAGTGAAGGACCAGCCTGATGGAGAGATGTCAAGGTGCCACTGAAGTCAGGTTATTTTCTGATACTGTGAAGGAGAAAAGGTCTACAATTTTAAGGTGCCTTACGAAGGGGTGACCTACCTTGTAAAGTATAGTTGCTGGCTGAGGTAATGACAGAGAAGTTAGGTTGAGGGAGAAGGTACTAAAGTCATCAGCATCGTATATGAAGAATCTAAAAGCGACAACAGTATAAAGGGTAGGGGGAACAACAACGTTAGGGTGCAGTAGTCAGTGTGAAAAGCATCAGTGATGACCATTCTCCAGAAGACATTTTCACTGCTGAAAGGTGGAAAGAGAAAAAAAGAATAAAAAGGAAGAAACACACGAGATGTTTGGAGAAATGCAAGAAAAACAATCTTTTTTTTTTTTTTTTTTTTTGCTATTCATGTAGCAGTGTAAGTTGGATGTAGGATTGCTTTTCTTAAGGGAGAATGGACTTACAGAAGGACTATAATAGGTGCTATCTCATGCACAATTGGGACAGTACTGGTAAGATGATAAAGGGAATTAGAGGAGATTGTGAGGAAAAATCCAAGAATACAAGCAGCTTTGTATCCCAAGCGCGTATCTTTTTGTATCTGAATATGGATCCATGTGAAGGTCCAGAGCAAGTTGTCGAATGTTGAAATAACAGTGGCCACTTTGGAGCGGAAAAAAGTGGCGGAAAAAGGTTTTTAGTGCAGGGGAGGTTGGTGGATAAGTTAGGAAAAAAGTGCAGTAAAAATTAGAGGTGGGGAGCAGGTAATCAAATCATGATGCAGATAAAAAGTAAGTGAAGATGTCGGGTCTTTGTGTAATAGTGCTTTTTCCAACCTAAGCAAGTTCCAGGGCTCTATCAGCACACCTCAACAAAAGAAATATCCAGAACAGAGATGCCAAAAGGAGTAGCATTTTGTGATGCAAAAATAATTATTTTTGGTGGGGATAGGGAAGAGGAGGAGGATTTTGAGGGCTCTGTCAAGAGGCCTAAGGGTAGTAAGTATGAGTGCTGGCACTTGACAAGTGGAAGAACTGAATGTAATTAAATATCAGAGTGCTGAAACTGATATTATGCTCTTGGCAGGAATTCACTGCAACTGGTTCTTCCAACACAGACACAGGCAAGGCTTCAGGCAGTCTAGAGACCAAATATAAGATCAAAGACTATGGACTTACATTCACCCAGAAGTGGAACACAGACAACACATTGGGAACAGAAGTTTCCATGGAGGATCAGGTAAGAGAAAGTAGATACTCTGAAAATGTTTCTGCAACTAGTATGAGAAAGTATTGAGTTGAGCAGAAAACATTGAAGAGTGAAAGTTGCACAAAACTGTCTGGAGTACTAAAAAGAAGGAAGTTATGTATACTTGTAGAATGCACAGACTGAGAGCATCATGAATTTTGGGGGTGTGGGGTGCAAGCATTCCCACATCAGTATGGTGCTACGTAATGATCCAATGGTACCGAGTTATTGCACTTACGGGCATGCAAAATTAGCTAGCTGGTTGAATGAATATCACTATTATCACTCCAAATAGGAGTTTTTGTTTAAAGATGCACTCTAGCTATGTAGAACTGTCACTGCTGCAGTCATGCAGGGAAAACAAAAGAGGGGTCTCGTAGTTTTAAATGCTCTAATACATAAGGACTTAAGTTTGGCTGCCTTGAGATTGAATATATTTTGAAAGGTTGAAGAGAAAGATTAGTGTTTGTAGCTTGGCACTGCTTACACAAAGGGTTGCTAGCATACAGCACTCTCAAAACAGACAATTCTTTTTCAAAGTAATAGCTTTATGCTTTTCACTTAATGCCTGAAGCGTAAGGTAATGGTGCCAAAGGAAGTAAAAGTTTTGTGGTGCCCTCCACCACGTATGGCCATCAATTTTTGTAGTTACGGTTTTGCACTTTTACCTGTGCTTTAAAGTGGAAAATGCTGTCCAGCTCAACACAAGGGCGGGAAAGCTGAGGCAGGTATGCAGTTTGGCCTGTGAAGTAGTACTGTGTTTCAAAAGAATACCTGTAGATTCTGAGAGATTCTTGAGCTACCGTGTGGATTGTTGGAACTACAGGGAGCAAACATGAACTAAACAGTTTTCTTTCTTTAACATAGTTTCTCAGTTTTCTTGTCAATGCTGGATTTGAAATCTTCTGTAATAACGTATCTACAAAGCGTGTGCTGTTATAGGGCCTCATTGTGGGGAGAAAAAGTCCAAATTTTAATCCCTCATCACAGCACCTTCAGACTTTGTTGTAAAACATGTGGGAGACATTATGGTGTGTTTCGTCTTCTCTTTAGGCAGGAAGTAGAGCTATAGTAGTGGAATATAACAAATCATGTTTCAGCAGAGTTCTGAGCAGACGTCTTTGTTTTTCTTTGCAGTTGGCTGAAGGATTGAAGGTGGCTCTTGACACTACATTTGTACCAAACACAGGGTAAATATTTTCCATTACCTTTATCAAAGGAGTGCTAGTCCCATAACTGTCAATTAGAAATGCTTGTTCTGGTCATTGTGTAAATGCTTAAAATTTACTGTAGAATATTCTGCAGGCACTGTAGAATATTTTGAAGGCAATGGATAATACCGGGCTCAGAAGGACAAGGTCTGCTAAAAATGATTCCTCAGCTCTTTGGCCATTGGCAAATTTGTTGTTTTGCAGTAGGTATTACATTTTTGTAACTCTCTCCTCAAACAGCTAGGTCTTACATGGAGCACTTAACCATGTAACCATGTACCATCTTTGGCATGGTGTTGACGGTCCTACTGCTGTCAACTCAGTGCCTTAAGAACACAAAGCAAAACTATTTTTTTTCCTGATGCTTTCGGGCAGATGTCTATGTACAACTGAATGAGGAGGTAGAACCGCATAGGTATTATGATAGGCAGTGGAATAGCACTTTTTTGTCATTCTCAATTATCATGTATTTTTGGTAGGCAGTAGAGCAAAGGAGGATTGTTTATGTCTGGTTAATGCACAAAGCTTGAGACTGCTTTGTAAATAATTGCTGGTATTTCTTTATTGTTGGGGAGAGCCTATCACAAAATTCAGAGTTTGAAATACTGCTTGGATGTAAGAAATGAGAAACTAAGTCAAAAATGAGGCCCCAGGCCTGGGTATGAGTGACAGGCAGCACGGTGTTCTGCTGTGTCTTCAGTGGGAGAGAAAGGAGGCTGGGGAGAGGATTAAGGAGGTGATAAAATTTTGTCTCAGTTATGTTAAGTTTGAATTGGTAGCAAAATGAGCACGAAGATGCGTTGGAGAGAGAGGAAGAGGCTTCTCCAGAGGGACAGAAAAAGGCTGACTAAGTGGATGATGTCTGGAGGATGAGGAAATTTGTTTTCTATAGAGGAGACTGGTAGCCAGCAGTGAAGAAGGAAGGAAAGCAAGCACTGCACATGAAGAAACAGTGGAGAGAACTGAGCAGACAAAAAGTCACTGAAGGACAGAAAGGCCAGCTATTGGTGCGGGATGTCATGGGTGTTCCTGAAAGAAACTGATGATGCCGTAACGCATTGCACTCACTTGTGGAGAACAAAATTTGAAACCTGATGGGTTTTAGAGCATTAAGCAGAAATGCTTTTGTCTTTTTTGCTTCTTGAGGATTTTAAGGAGTTTGAGATGGAGGAGGAAAAAGTGGCACCACCTAAATACACATAATGCCAATATTACCCTTATCCCATGCCCTCTTCAGCAGCTGTTATTGTTAAGTTTTGAGTAGGCATTACAGTCATTTAATTAACTGGCCTTAAGGGACATACATACGTGAATAAAACTACATATAATATACATACTTGTATACTACCGGGGATAAAATGGCATGTTTCTCTCTGCAGGAAGAAGAGCGGAAAGTTGAAGACCTCCTACAAAAGAGAACATGTAAATCTAGGCTGCAACATAGACATTGATCTCTCTGGACCAACCATCTATGGCTGGGCAGTGTTGGGCTACGAAGGCTGGCTTGCTGGCTACCAGATGGCCTTTGATACAGCCAAGTCTAAGCTTTCGCAAAATAACTTTGCCTTGGGATATAAGGCAGGAGACTTTCAGCTGCATACTAATGTGTAAGTATTATCTGAGCCTAGAAAAACATTATCGGAGGAGCCAAACTAAATGAATAGTGAGCATTAACGGAGTTAGGTGAAAGGTGGGTGGATGGAAGGGGATGCTGATTTGTTTTGACATAATTTCTATTTGGTGTTTTCATCTTCAGTACAACTAAAGCAAGGGCAACTTTCCAACTCTTGGCTGTCTAATGAGACCTTGTTTCAGGGTAATTTTGGGTTTTCTGTATATACGATAGTGGCGTAAAGGCACTTTATGTTAATTTGGAGTTAAAATCTGTGAACTTTAACTTCTATTTTGGCGCTAGATAAAAGAGTCGTCAATTAAGCTACTGTACCTTGCCCCCTTCCCCACCAGACAGAAAGCTGCTGGCTCAGAAATGCCCAAGGTGGAAGAGAGAGGTGTGTGTTGCATTGTGCTTGAGTGTTTCCAGCTGTCATCGCAGTGTAGCTCTAGTCTGACATTCAGATGCTCTGAGAGTCTTTGAAGATGGTGTATGTAAACAACTGCAATGCAGTAACATTGTTTTCAGTCTCATCGTTCCCATAACTGACTTAAGTCTCCTTCTGGATTTGTCCCTTTATGTGTTATCGCAGGCATGCTTTCTTAACTTAAGACAAGCAAGCAAGTTATCCGGTTTTTTTTTTTGTCAGAACCTCAAACCATAGGTCTCAGCTGTTGGAAAGTCTTGTTCCATTCTGCAAGCAAAACTTATGTTTTGGGTAAAAAAAACGTGAGCAGGAATCTGCCAGCTCCAGAGATGAGCATGGGTCCAGGGAAGTATTGGAGCTCTTGGTTCATTTTAAGAGATAATTATCAAATGATTGTGGGGAAGGGTTAATCTAAAGAGTTGTTACTATTTACTAAACAAGGCAAGGCTTGACACACTTGCATCTATTACAAACAGGAATGATGGCACCGAGTTTGGTGGGTCTATTTATCAGAAGGTTAATAATAAGGTTGAGACATCAGTCAATCTTGCATGGACTGCTGGCAGTAACAACACACGTTTTGGTATTGCTGCCAAGTACCAACTGGATGAGAAGACTTCCATTGTGGTAAGAATTTTGTTACAGGAATGAGTATTTCAAGCTCCCTTAAATACTGAAAATTTGTGGTATGAAGTAGTTGCTTTAAATAGTTACTGAGAAAGTATAGTAGATGGCAAACTGTGGCTTCTGTTGTGGTTCAAATTTAAATTGGGACCTCAGAGGTCGTATTTGTAAAACGATGGGGGGGGGGGGGGGGGAATCTAAAGAACTGGTTTGTCCATGGTGAAATAGTCACTAATCTGACTAGTGTGCTTGGAGCCTATGCAAAATGTGTTTCCAAAAGGTAATGAGAGGATGCAGTATCCTTTTAGTTCTCTAAGTCTTATCTAATGCATAGTGTAAAACTGTACTATAGTAAAATGATAGTTCAGCTGAGCTTACAGGCTTCTCCTAACAATCAGTTAACCCTTGAAAGTCATCTGAGGTCCTGAGATAAGTGTTGTTGCTGATGCTTGCAAATTCTTGCAGAAATGTTAGGGGAAAAAAAAAAAGGTTTAAATAGTGAGAGAGAGACAGAAGAGGTTCAGGAGACAAAACATGTCCATGGGGAAGCGATGGTGAATAAAAGTAACTATGTGTATGTTCTAACACTAAGAACTGAAGCAGCAAGCATTTGTTATGCTGCAAAACAAGAATTAGTTCCAGGACAAGTCAGCCAAAATTAAAGATGTGACATGCTATTGTAAACAGCTCAAAACTTAGTAATGCAAAGATGGGTTTGCATATTCATATATTTATTGCTCATTAAGAAAAAAAAAATCACTACTAAGCAATTTGTGAACAGGGGTCTGTGACCAAGACAGACTTCGTTGGCTACTAAGGGACTGTCATAACTAGCCCCTTAAAGGATATAAAGAGACAACGTGGGGAGCAGTGAAGGACAGGGTGCCATTTTCTGTAATGGGTCACAATTTAAAGGAAAGATTGGAACTATGACTTAAGCCTGTTACAGCTTAAGCTGGAAGCTCTTGAGGAGAAAAGGAAAAGATTGGAATATGCCTCTGCTAGAGGTTAGTCTACAAGCAGCTGAAAGAGTTAATGCATAAGCCACCTTCTCAGGGCACTGGGACAATTACGTCTGAATATTTGTACACAGTGTATAAATATTGTGATCTCTTTTTTCCTGTAGGCTAAAGTGAATAATGCCAGCCTGATTGGAATTGGTTATGCTCATGCCCTCCGACCCGGTACGTAAGTCCAACTGGTAGCAGCAAATAGTATTAGTACTACACTATGGGTTATTTTACTGTCATCTCTTGAACAGAATACATAAACAAATTAGCTAGAAATCTTACATAGGCTCATGGAAGTAAAGGCTGTGTACATACAGAAGTTCCTATAGCAACTAAGACATTTTAGTGAGGCTTAAGTACTTGAGGAAGAGCATTGGATATCAGTGTACGAAGGGTCTTATTGCTTGCTTTCCTAGGTGTAAAGCTGACCCTTTCAGGCTTGATTGATGGCAAGAATTTCAGTGCTGGAGGTCACAAAGTTGGGCTGGGATTTGAGCTGGAAGCTTAATGCAGCTTTAAGTAAAACAACAGGTGGTGCTCTGGAAGATAAAGGAAAAATGTACCCAGTGTGTTTCGGCCTTAATATTACTCTGAAATTTCAAGAAGTGTGAACTTTCTACTCTTCCAAAGAATCATTTTAACCCAACACTGAAGTCCAGAGAGCGCCAGCACATCAAAGGAAGATACTTGAAGGTATGCATGGAAGTTGTGATGTTTGTGCCACATTTCACTTCAGTTTCCCGTATTTTAAATCTGTTCCTAAAAACAGATGAAAATCCCTCCTCTCCCCATTATTGTATTGTATCCTGCATGTCCTGTACTTCACAGCCTTTTATAAAAGGTGGTCTCTGTGCTGTAGTGGAAAGTTGGGCTTACATCAGAATGAAATAAATTGGTCACAGTTGGAACATAATGGTGGTGTGTCTTGTCTCTCAGTAAGGTTCAGAAGAGCTATGCTCCACCCAGCTCTGCTTTTTTTTTTTGGTGCAACTTTAACATGGTTAATGGATAACCTGCAGATACTTTGTTGAACTAGACGTGTACGCTGAAGGTTTCGTTCTCTGTGGTCTCCAGAATAACATCCTTACACCTCTCATGTTTTAGAGACCTGCACAGTGAAAGCAGCTTTTTCATTAAAATGTTATTGAGGGTATCAAAAAGAGCAAACCAAAAGTTTACATGTTTTAGATAATTTCGTTCCCATATAGAAAACAAGTATTAGGTAAGTACAACCATTACACTTAAGGAAAAAAGTGCAAATCAGCAAAGTTAAGAAATTAAGTTCACAGTTCAAGTATATTAGGAAGGTGACGTCTACCAGTGACTGTGCAAGCTGATTGCATGCGTTGTCCATTGGTCATTAGAAAGCCTAAAAGGCAGCAAAACCACCACATGTGATGCCTAAGGGAAGATACATCAGGACAGAGAATAAGAATATCTGCTGTCTTAAGGCACAATTAAGAACTTTTTCCAAGCAGTTAGAACAGGCATTTCCTACTGTATCTTTGTGAAAAAAGTGTCCAAGAGGTGGATACTGAAAGCTAGACCATGTGTATCACATAAGCAGTAGGTGACAGTAGAAGGAGGCACTTGAACTTCCCTTCTCAGAGGCAGCAGCTTTTCACAGTTGGCTTCCTGAAGTAGCATGTCTTCAGAGGCAACCGAAGTGATTTTACATCTGGGTTTGTTCTGGACTGTTTGTTTCCTCTACCTGAAGCTGCAGCCAGCTCCAATCTAGAGCCTAAAGAATAAACAGTTAGAACTACGAAGTTCAACACTAGCTTACAGTTGAGATTTCTCCAGAATAAAGGGGACGCAGTTTAAAAGATTCAAAAATTTTACTGTGAACAAGTTGGTCAATATAGTTTCATGATGAACGATGCAACTGCTGCAAAGGAAACCCTCAAGCTACTTACTTTCTCTAATATTTTACTTTCTTTTCAATAGTCTGTTTCATTAAATAAGCATCCCTACCCACCAATGTATTGCCACTCCAAGACCATCCCAATTTTAAGAGTGCAATTTTGCAGTATTTTTGTACAACAGCAAAGCGCCTTCCCCTATCCTTTATTGTTTGGCACAACTTAAATCCCCAGCACATGGCTCCTGTTCTCAGCAAGTAGGGAATATGTCAGTCAGTTCAAGTGGAGGAGTAGGTGCTTTCTATCTGCCACAACTACTCTCTCCTTCTCCAAAAGAGTCATGTGCAGATTTCTATTAGCCATATTACTTATCGGTGGCAAAGTTACACATGCAGAAGTTTGAAGCCGTGAGCTTCCCCAGTCTGTTTATAGAAGAATATCAAATATGTTACCATGAAGCTCTGCTCCTGATCCTTCATTGTGTCATGCATCACATTTTCTAGTTGGCTACAGAGTTTCTGTGATTCCAGCAGTAGCTCCTCACTGAAAAGGACAATTATTACATAATTATTTTCCACAGCAGTTTTGTTTAAAGAGATGCTGCCTCTACCTTTAAGAAGTATTTCTGGCAGGTATGCTGCAGAGCACTGAAGAATTAACTTTTACCAGTCAGCTCATAAGCTAGTAAGTCATATTGCAACTAGGAAAGTCGGTGGCATCCCCAGACTTACGGGGACAAGGGAAAGGAAGCGCGTTCCAAGTTGGAGTTGGGTTCTTGTTATGTGGAGTCACTGTTGCTAGAGAAAAAGTTGCAGAACAACCTATAAACTAAAGGATTAAGCAACATACAAATAAACAAACTAAGGTCTGTCATTCCAGCTGGTGACCCAGTTCGTTTAAGCAAGCCAGAACTACACGTGCTTGATTATAGCAGCCTCTCCTTTATGATACAGCTCAGCTACTATCACCTTGCATGACAAGTCTCCAACAATTCCCGTTGGCAGTGTACTTGAAGTGAGCCCAACCATTCCAGATAAAACAAACGCTTTATTATTGAGGCAGGGGGAAGTGAAGCTATACATTATTCCCCATTTTTCATAAGGAGGATTCACAAGCCCCAGGAAGTCCAGCTACTAGGTAGAAAAGGCTGCTGACAACGGAAGCCAAACACAAAGTGTAAAATGTGAGAAAGCCTGTGTGTCATTATTTCACAAAGCAGGAGCCCCAGCTTTGTAGTGCTGGCATTAGCAGCTACAGAACTCCAAACTTTGCCTCACCTTCTCCTAACAGATTCTGATAAATTGTAGGTTCCAGAAGGGACCTGCAGCAGCAGCTGACCAGGGCTACCAAGACGTGATGTGTTCATGCTCTCTGGACTGCCAGTAACAGGACCACGTACTTTACTCTGAAGAAAACACAGAAGATTCAGATTGCAATTATTTCCACCACTAATTTCCAACAGCCAGGAATATGAGACAGCCTGGAACTTGGCTTTAATACTAATTCAAAATAAGAGAGAACCATAGGACATACTAAATTTACTATTAATTATTTCAGTAACCTGTGCTACAAACCATATTTTCAGGTTAAATTGGAGGTTTATTTTACTTACACAAGCAATTTTTAGCAAGTTCCACAGTTCTTTCTGTCGTTTCTCCTGAAGCCTAACAACTGTTTCCTCATCTTCATTCATCAGATTCATCACTTTCTCCACTCTGGGGAACAATTCCAGTGCCTTCTGCTTGCAAACTACAGTTTTACTATTAAAAAAAAAATCAGATCACACATGGGCAACTGCAGCGGAGGAACATTTCTGAAGTTTCTTATTTCCTGTGACACTCTGGGATCTCATTAGCTGTATGCACTGGTTTTTAAACCGCTAGAACAAAACCTCTTGCTGAAAGAGAAAATGCTTTCAACCCTCAATAAAAGCCGACTCTACAAAGCTCACCTGAGCTGAGCATAAATGACTCGGACTTTTTTTTCAAAGGTCTGGATTGCCTGTAAGAGCAGTCGTACTATTTCTTGGCTGTCACCACTTGTCCTCTGATCTGGAATGAGAGTCAGAACATTACACAGAAAGGTAGGCTTATAGGACAGAGTGAGAAGATTCTTAGCAGCTTGTTTCCACTGCTTCTTCAATCCTGAAACATCCCAAGTTCAGGGCATGCAAGTTTGACCAGGATGAATTGCACTAGATTTTAGCCGCCTTCTTCAAAATTACGAGAATTGGAAAGCAGAGTTGGTAGGGTGGGTTTAATGCCTTGGGGCTGTACAGCTGCTCAAAGGAACAGCTATGTCTTTTCATCCTTCCCACACAGAAGCAGCAGCATATGCTTGCAGCAACAGCTTGCTCTGAGAAGAGCTCCAGAGGAGTTTCAAGAAGAGCTCAGAAGGTGCCAAGAAAGCAAGGCTGGCATAGTTTAAAACTGACTCCCTGACTCCCCTCTTCAAAAATGGGCGAGTCCAGTAGAGTCCATGTGCAGCTAGCATATGGGCAGGCCTAGAATGCAGAGAGTTTTCTCAGTGCTCATTATTGCATCTCCGAAGTTACTATCCACACAAAGCAAGCTGACCTTGAGCTAAAATGTCTTTTACCTCTTGGCTTCTCTCTCAATCTCCGGTACAGCTCTCTGGCTTGTTCTTCTCTAGAAGAAAAAGGCACAGAACACAAAGGACTTCTCTAGAACCTAAATTATGAACAAGTAGTTCAAGAACTCAAATCTTTTATATGTCTGCCATTTCAGACTAATGACAGGTAAGGAGTCAAAAACTGTCTTTTTGTGCCAAAGTCCTCCCAGTCCCCCATAATTTGGGCTGAAGAGACAGCACCTTCATTGTCCTGCAGTGAATAAGCTTAGCTAGCAATACTCCTGCATCTGAAGTTCAAGGTAGTTCAACTCACAAATCCTCCAGCGTTCCTCCTTGTTTACGACCTAGTGGGCTTCTCTGCAGGTCCACAATGTCTGTCTGCAGGGCCATCATCCTCTTCACTAGCTGATCCACATCATCCTCCTGAAAGCAGGGCAGAACATAAGCAATGGGACAGTCTCATACTAAGAGACACTACCACTCACACTGGCTCTTCCTTTCTCATTCACATTTCTAAACACATCTGCAAGATGCAAGCAGCAGCCTTGGACAAAGACAAATGAGAATATGAGTAATTTCAATTCAAGGAAATTAGCTTGGTGCTCTGGGATAAAACAACTTCCAAAAATTTTTTGATAAAAAAATCAGCCTGCGACAAGGAGCCATTGAAGGGTCTGACTTTGTAGTACATGTACTGCTAGTTCCCAGGCCATCATGCTTCCTTTTCCTTGGCTATTCCAGATGTCTCATCCTATCCATCACCGCTTTTCCCCTTTTACCTCAGCACACAACCACATCCACACCCGGCACCCCAAATTCTGCTTTTCACTTGAACTCGTTCACATGCAGAAGCTGCTGCTTGTTAGACAGTCATTCTGCCCTCTGCCTCATCCCAACAGAGGAGGACCAAGTGTTGGAAAAGAATAAGATATCGACTAGTCACCTTTCACTCCTCATCTGGGAGCGATGGTCCTTGGCCCTACTTACAGGGGTTACACTGTTGTGTCAAAAGGCTGAATGCCTTACTGGGAGCAGGTGCGGAATGTGCACCAAGAATGGGAAATCGTTGCCTTTTCAAAATTCAAGACTGATGCTTAAAATTCTTGTGTTCAATCGTCTGATCATTCACTTTCCCATTCAGTTTAACCTATGTTCCATATCCTCTTTTCAGCTATCCTGGCTCCAGGATTGGGTTAGCAGGACATCTGAGTGCAACCACTGCAAAATCTCCTCTCGCATTCCCCAAGACCTCCGTTTTTCCCCTAAGCCTTACAAATACAGTGAGCTTCACGAAGTACTGGCAATGGACAAAAATGGTGCCACCCAAACCAAGGCAATGTGACACCTGGAATCAGCCCAGACACAAGAAGTTTCTATTTAAGGGAGGGCAATGAAGAAAAAAGAAAAAAAAAGAAAAAAAAAAAAAAAAGGAATGAAAAACAAGCCTCTTTTTCTTT